TAATTTTTACATTTTACATTTATCATACATCTTTTTTGATGTCCTAATTTCCTGTTTCACCAGCTTTTTTGATCTACTATAATCTTCTAAATCTCCCGTCATACCAGTCAATTTAAAGTTATTATGCTTTTCTTTAATTTTATTTCTTAAACTCTTTGTGAGCCAACCTGGCTTTTTATTTGCAGCTACTCTTTTCTTTCAATAATGAATATGTTTACCTTGAATATTGAAAAAATTCCACATCTGATCAGTGTCTCCAAATTACTCAACTGCCCAATTCACAACAGATAATTTTTGTCACATCCCTTCAAAATGTGCTTTTTTGAAACCTGTAACCAAAATATCATTATTCTTTATCTTCATATGCAGCAAAACATAGAACTTAATAGAGCAATGATCACTTGCACTCAGATGTTCCTCAATTTCCATCCTCTCAATCATTTCTATGTTTGAAGTTAACACTAAATCTAAAATAGCATTGTTGCTAGTAGGTTCCTGAGAGTTTCCAAAAACCTTTCTCCCTCATGGTTTGACTCTAGTGTTTCCTAATCCATATGCCTGAAATTAAAATCACCCATAATTATTACTTCATTAACAGCTGAAATCTTAATCTCATTGTAAGGTTTCTAACTAATTTCATCAGTATCATTTGATGGTCTGTAACAAATTCCCACTAAAAGCCTTTTCCCTTTTTATCCACTAATAGAAACCCAAATGGATTCAATCTCTTTACTATTATCTGATATCCTCAACTTCAACAGGATGTAACTCACATTTTAAATATAAAGTAACTTCTCTCCTCCTCTTTAATACTCTATCCCTATTAAATAGTCTGTAACCCTGTATTTCAAAGAAATTTCTGTCATCAAATCATCTACTGTTTAACATTGTTTCAGTTATTTTTCATTATATCAAAATCCACCATTCCTGCCAGTGCTTTAGACTAAAGTGATTTACTTTATTTCTTCTACTTCTAGCATTACAATAGTAACAATTAAGCCTATCCTTATTATTACTTCTATATTCATTTCCTATGCTAAACTTTTCTCTGCCTCTTATTATTTTGCATTTAGTTTTTCATGACCCTCACCACTGTCTAGTCCTAGTTTAAAACCTCCCTCACAGCTGAGTTAATGCCTTAGCAAACAAGACAGCCCCTACCCTATTTAAATGTAAACCGTCCATTGCAAAAATCTCTCTTCTTCCACTGAACTGACCCCACAAGTCCAACCAGCCATTCTGCTCATCTTTACATACTAACCTATGCCTAGCAGTTAGCCCTGGTGACCTACTTATAACTTCAGGGACATACTTAGCCAAAATAACAGGAAGTTAAAAAACATGTTTCAAATGCTATACTAAGAAATTATCCAAAATGTCCATATTTATTTCATTTTACTGCACTTGGGATGAAAACAAATGCTTTTTCTGTAAGAGGAAAAACTGATGTCATGGAAGTGAAAGATTTAGGTGTAGTTTTTTATTAAACTTTAAAGCCATTAGCTGAATACTTAAAAGAGATGAAAACAACAAATATTCTTAGTTCTACTATAGAAATTTTGAATTTATGAAAATGAAAGTTCTTTTTAAAGCACAATACCCTAGTAAGACAATCATTGGGAAAATTGTGAAAAGATTTATTTTGAAAACAGAAGTTTATAGTTTTTTTTTTAACTAGACTTTTTCTTTTTCTTATGGTATTGTTATTCCCTTTACTTTTGTTATTCTAGCCTTAGAGGTCAAATTCAATTGTGGATTTTGATTGCATTGCTTGAGCTGCATTTTTTCAAATTTTTCTTGGAATTACATACAAGTTATTTTACATTATTATCATTAATCTGAGAACTCTGCCATTTTTTGTACATTTTTCTCAGGTCAGCTTTGAGATCACCTTTGAAAAATTTCACTGGGTATTTTATGGCTAGTAAATATCTTCATATCACTTTTTTTTAAAGATTTGTTACAGGCTTGGTTTTAACAGTTTGAAGTATCAGAAAGTGTTCCTATACTTCCAGTCATGCTAAAAATGTTACTTTATCCTTAAACAAATTTGTGTTTTATGCAAAGCAACTAAATAAATGAAAAAAAAAATCTGATGAATAAACTTGTTTGCTAATACAGAAGTTGAGAAATGTTATATTACAACAATGTTGGAGCCTCACCACATCATTATAGTTCAATGTAGCTAGTCTGGTCAGTGGTCATCCACTATCTGCATCTTGGTAATAACCCTACAGTAAACGGCTTTTGCTACTGACTTTGGTGTTCGTGAATTTTCACCCGTTACAATACGCCATACTGTTACGTCTCCGTTCATTAGTTGATTTTCCGTAACTTTGTTCCGACGAAACTTTAGTAACACAAGTCCTTACTTAATAAAACTGGTTTATTCTTTCCGAATACAACTTTACGATACACTTAATTTCAACAGTCGCGCTATAATTAAACGCTATATCTCACGTGGCCAACAATATTTTGTCCGCATACATTCAATTACTCATTACACTGTTGTCCCGTCACGTTGTGAGCGTCCTATATATATACCAGACTAACATATATCTAGTAAATGCTAGGGCATTCTTGAAGCAAAAGGATTTTTCTAAAAATACGTGGCGTGATACTAGTCACGTGACCTCGCTGACGCAACACTGCCCCTCCTTAGTATTGTTCGTCCCAAACAATAG